AGGGGTAGAGGAATGGTCAGGCAGCCCGATAGAAGAAGAGCCATCATTAATACCATAGTAATATGCATCAACACACGCGTGTTAGCATACCACAATAGTGTGAATAGGTCCTAACAGATTCATTCTGTATAAATCTCAGTTTTAGTATTGGAACTTTTACCAATTGCATTAATATCATTTACATAAAGTAACTAGACTTTTCTATGCCAAGAATACATCCTTGAGTTGAAGGAACATTTTACAAAAACTAAGATCATTTATAGTATAATTACAATATTTATGGCAGTATTATAAACTTTTTAGCAGTTCACCCTTCAAGAAGATGGCATAGAGCTGGAATACTTTACAACTGTTCCTGGCTTGTGTAAAGGGTCATTCACTTTGTTTTATGAGTTCATGAACTACGATAAATAACACAGGTCACACTGAAATTCAGGATGAGATTGTACAGCAATAAAAGCATCATGGGAATTTTAGTGTTTTACCAATTTGGAACAATCACACACTAATCCCCTGACAAACTTTGCCATGCTTTAGGTGTAATATTTGTTACATAGTAATCTGTTTTGTTCTTTAGATGTAATAAAATGGAATATTTAGCCTTATATATATATGTTTTCTTTTCTTATTTATGTCCAAGACTAATACATATTTTTCAAGTTAGTCTCTTTTTGCTTAATTTTTTAGATGTTTTTATTCAGATTGGGGGAAGAAGAACATCCGATTATGTACAGCATTGTTTATGTGTATGTGCTTATTACTAGATACAACTGCTGGTTATTACTGGTGTTTACTAGAGATGAGCCTGGGCTTGGTGTGAACTCAGTTTGCCCACTTAAAACAGTGACCGTCACCCCTGCCTCCATTACCTGTTCTGCAGCAATACGTCACAAAGGAGCGGGAAACGCCCCAGCCGCAACTCTCTACACTGATTGGGTCAGGAGGAGAGATTATGGTTACTGTTTTGAGCAGGCTTGGTCGAACTAAGGTGAACTGGGTTTACACCAAGCCCAGCACCATCTCATGTGGTTACTAGCTTTTTCCAAAAAAAGGTTAGCACCTCCATCAATCTGCATACCTCTCACATTTTTATGGGTTGCTACTGGGTTTGCAAAGGCCTTTGGTGCACATGAAGTGATTTTATATATTTTGTGGCTATTGAGAAATTGAGAAATATATTTAAATGAACGTTGTTGTGCCTTTTGCTTTAATTGGTAAATTCTTCTATAGGGCAGACTAAAAAGAGGGACTCAAGAGGGAAGAGGGACAGAGAGATTAGGTTCCAAATGGGGGGCACGTGGGAGCTATGTGTCAGGTGGGTATTGTTTCTGTATCCCTATCCAAAGATTTTCCTTTAGGGCTGGTGCACACCAACTCTAGTATGTATTCCTAATTCAATGCTGATGTTATAACAGGATATATGCTGGGACTTTACAACTCCTTTAAACACAAAATAGCTGTAGAAAACACCCTGCTTGGTTGTAATATCAATTTAATTTGAACTCCGTGACCTCCTTTGCACTCCATTGGTGGTCCTCTATCTGCAGCCCGTGATTACACTGCTGGAAGGTCCAGTCGTTTACGTTATATCACCTGCTGAAATGGGCAGTGTGGCACGTAAGCAGTTAGCACCTCTTGCCTTGCAGCTCTGGTTCCTGGGATTGGATTCTGCCAAGGACACTATTTATATATAGGTTATATGTTCATCCTGTGTTTGTGAAGGTTCTCACTGAGTGTTTGCGTTTCCTCCCACAAGCCAAAGACATACTGCTAGGTTAATTGGCTTCCTCTCAGTATCAGTGTGTGCGTGGTAAGGATGTTAGAGCTCTTGTAGAGAACAGGGACAGATGTGGATGGATATATGTGCTCTGTAAAATTTTTATATAAATACTAGATATAAATTAAAGGTAGCCTGTTCTAAGAAAATTCATAGGCTGCCATTAATTACATTTTCTTTCCTTCAAAAATGCAGTCTGCCTGCTGGTTTATCTATGGGCTGCAGTAGGCAATACTTCAATAGTTACACATTATCAATCTCATTCAATAAAGAATGCTAATTCTTAAAGCAACTTGTCAAGAAACTTTAAAACCTAAAGAAAATTATCCTGCAATGGAAGAGGTATTATACTCACTAACTTTTTTACCTTCCTTAATTGTTTTATGCCTATGTCCCCCGCAGCATGGTGTGGTTCCATCCTCCAAACCCCTACACTACAGGAAAAAAGGAAATCCTTTAATAGGACACTTGTTTTGGTGACAACTGTTTACAAGAGGATTGCCTTTACTTTGGAGAGATTTCCTCTCACTTTATCTTGTGTCTAAAACAGGAAGTAAAGGGAAATCTCCCCTGTGGGACACAGACCATAAAAGGAGGAAGGAAGCTACCCCGTCCAGGAAAGTAAGCACCCAGAGGACCAGAGTATCCTAAAGAAGTGCCATACATTTAGGAAAGTCAGCCAACTGATCCGAATAAAACCAGGTATGAGTAAAGGCTTCAGTCTTATCTCACAAAGCAGCAGTAAGGCTTTCCATCTCTCTAATGTCAGATACCCTGGTTAACCAATGTGACCCTGTCGGGGGTGTAGATCGCTTCCACACACTGGGGATACAGGCTCATAGTTACATAGTTAGTCAGGTTGAAAAAAGACACATGTCCATCGAGTTCAACCTATAGAGGGCTCAGGCAGCACTCAATAAATGTCGTAACAGCATTTTCTTGTATCTCGTCCAAGACATTCAAGAGGACTGCCGAGGGACTATCCATCAATGAGAACCCAGTCAGCTGATGAACAATCCCTAAAAACCTGTTTCCAGAAGGGTGTGAGCTGAGGGCATTCCCAAAAAATATGTAATAAGGTACCTGTGTGTCCCTGGCACCGCCAACAGAGATCTGTCTGTTGTGGAAAAAGTTTTCCGTAAACAGAAGGCGTCCTATACCAACAGGTCATGACCTTATAAGTGGCCTCCTGTTATCTGTTGCAGATCGATGCCTTATAAGTAAAAAACAAAATTCTGTCAATTTGTGCGTCAGAAAAGGTAATCCCTAAGTCCCTTTCCCATTTACGGATGAAGGATAACTCTCAGGCCGACAGGGTACATGGTAGCACTTTATAAGCCAGAGAGTGCCATGGACCATACCCCGACCCCCACACAACTCTTCAAATGGAGAATAAGTCAGCTTGAGGCTTGTATGGATTGTAAGAAATTTGAAAATTGCAAATGCTGCCAAGGGTTCAGATTGGGAAGATGGAATTCACTGTAAAGGACAGAGATATCCTTCCAACGCCCGGAATGTAGAAACTGGTGGGCAACAGTCAAACCAGCCTCACTCCAACTATGAAACAAATCTGTCAGTGAATACAGGGACAAACCCCGGGTGACCCAATATGAGAGTCAATGAGGACGGAAAGTAAGAAAGGCCACACATGGTTTAATACTTGCGGACCATCAGTATAGTAGGACCAGCAAGAGGGTGTTGAAGTAAAGGTGTAAAAAAATGCAAATCCACTCAGGGAGCTCCCTTAAGTGGGAATGCCAAGCTTTCCTGTCCTATTTGTACCCAAAGCTTAAGTTCCTCGTGCTTGCACCAGTCTACTACCTGCGCCAGATGAGTGGCCATATAATATAGGTCCAGGTCTGGGAAACTAATGCCTCCCCGTGGCTTAGTACGTACTAAAAATGTGGGTAGACGTGAAGTTTGAAAGAGGTAAAGTAAGCAGGGCATTACGTTCCTCTTTAAAACATTACATCTTCCAAATCAGGAAAGTGCTAACGTCTTCTATTGCTGTAAGTCAGTACGTAGGGAACGTAGAAATGGAAGACAGTTCAGTTTACAAATTTGTGAAAGGTCCACCGGTATAAATGTATCTCAATAGCGTATGGCCTAGGTCACCCATCGATAGGAAAAATTAGGCTGAAGCATGCTAAAAAGCGAAGCAGGAAGAGAGATATTCAGTGCCTCCGATTTTTGGAGATTAACTTTAACGTTAGAAAGGGAGCCAAAGGTCTGTAATTCTGATATAAGGAATGGTAGGGATGTGTGAGGGTTAGTGACTCAAAAAAGAAGGTCATCAGCATGTGCTGCCAATTTGGGATATTTCCCTCCCAACTGAAGCCCCTTGATGTCAGAGTTCTTCCAAACATGACACAAGAATGGCTCAAGTGTGAGTACAAAGATCAAAGTTGATAGGGGTTTTAACCATCCCCTACTCTAGCCTATACTAAAAAAAAGTTTTGGCTTTAAGTGATCTAACACCTAGCATCCAGTCAGATAGATTCTGATTGGTTAATATAGGTTGTAGCACAGAATTTGCACCTAGAACCTAGAGGAAGAAATGTCCTTCCCCAAACTGTTGCTGCAAGGTGGGAAGGGCACAATTGTCTAAAATGTCTTTGTATGCTGTACCATTAACAGTACCCTTCTCTGAAAAAACAAGAACACAATCATTTTAAAAGGGCTGTATTCACATACTTTTGGCCAAATAGCCATATGGTGTATGTCACTTTGCTTCCATGGGCGAGCAGAGCACCAGTGGAGTGTAGGGCAGCTAAGGATATAAAACTGCAAGGAGTGGAATTAAAGTGAACCTACTACTTTAGCCTACATTGGTAGTTCATCTGCTGACATTAACCTTACAGTTAAGATCATTCAATTGATCCTTATCACTCTTTAGGTAGGCCAGCCTTGAGCATCACTGCAGTAAAAAGGAAATTTCCATCGTTCCTGAGTAGCCGGATTATACTTGGATTTCAGGGCAATAAACGCTGAGTTTATCTGCAGTTCAATAACACCAATACAGATGAGTCACCAGGTAGCACTCCCTGGAATTGGACAGACTGGACAATGAGGATTAGTAGAGTGCTGGCAGTAAGCATGAAGGTGGGAGGGGGTGAGGGGGTAAAAAAACATTTAAATAACCATAGCGGCTCAGTATAACATCTCATCCTTCTCACCACATTTTCTTCTCTCCTAAAGTCCTACTAGACTAGCAAGAGACACCATGAGTTTCACTGGAAAATATGAAGTGGAGAGCCAGGAGAACTATGAAGCCTTCATGCAGTTAATTGGTAAGAAAATTTATTATTGGACTCATTTAGTACCACTAGACATGGACATGAGATGGACATAATCTGGCTGTCCACTGGGCAGCTATGATATAATTCCTGCATATGCGTAAAGGAATTATATCATCCTGGGCAGCCAGCTCCATTCTTAACACCTTTAAGATACCAGTAATAAGTCAGGAATGTACACTGCATGCACAATAGACAGCAGGCAGTCTACTCAAAATAATACATTGCTAGGAATGAGATGAAGAGGTTTTTTGACAGAAGAGACTTTGCATGTATCTCTTGCTGAAAAACTTAGCAATTTATTTATTTCCCAGACTTTAGTTCCACTTTAAATGCCCCCCTCCCTTTTTTTTTACCTTCCCCATCACCCGTGTTTGTTAGCAGGAACAGGCCTAGTGTATGCTCCAGTTACAGATCGCTGAACTCTCTCCCCACCTAAAAGCTATGGCCCTGAGGCCTGGTAATTGATTCTTCATACACCTAGCACTGCATCATGGGAGAAAAGGAGATGACTCACAGGCTTTGCACTTCTTTTCCAGGAATTCCAGCAGAAACAATCAAGAAAGGAAAGGATTTCATATTCACCACGGAAGTAGTGCAGAACGGCAATGACTTCACCTGGTCCCAGATCTACCCAGGCCATACCATGACCAACAAGTTCACCATTGGGAAGGAATCTGAAATGGAGACCATGAGCGGCAAAAAGTTTAAAGTAAGTAGCACCTAGGATTGGTATTTACATGACAGTGTTCAATGATGGTGATTGGAAATGTCAGCATGAAAACTCCTCAATGAGCTGATGATTGCTACATTATTTCACTGTTGGCATCAATGATAAGCCAACTGCACACAACTGAGTTTTTAGGTTTTTATCTTCTGACATGAAATATATAAAGCCAGACATGCTCTTGTGTGACTCTTGTCTAAGTTTGCAGTATGATTACATCATTATCACTTCACATAATTGTACCTTCCTCAATGACCACAAATCTTTGTTGCTATGCAGCTCCTGTACACTAGGGGGTCATTTATAAACAATGTGCAGAGCCGTTAGCCCTGTGAACATCTGTGAATATTCATTCTGTGAGAATGGATGGCAAAAATGAAATATTTTTGTATAGGTAAAAGTATTTTTGAATGTCATCTTGCAATACTACATTATGGCCACTAGATGGTACTGAGGAGCAGAGGAAATAAGTATTTATTCCTTCTACTCCTCAGCTCCATCTAGTTGCCATGATGCTGTATTACAAGATGACATTCGAAATTACTATAAAGAAAACCAGAACTTTCACTTTGTTCATCCATTTGCACGGTATGAATATTCACAGAGATTTTCAGTGCCAATGGCTCTGTGAATTGTTTACAATTAGTCCCCCTAGTGTACAGTAACATAAATAATACAAATTTGTCTGTAAAGGTATTTCATGATCCAGGTTGGTCAAGGTAGAACTAGTAGTAGTTAACCACATTCATCTGGACTTGTCCTGTAATGTTGAGGACGTTTCTCAGGTGTAATCTAAACTTACAGAACAAGTCCAGATTAATATGACTAACTACTGCTAGGTATTCTACATATTATCAAATGTTTTTTCATATTTATAAGGCTGAAGGCTTATGTGAGAAGGAATTGTGGCCTATGTGACTGCCCGCAAATTGTTTTGCAAAAAACAACCATTAGACAACCAAAAGCCACTCTTGGCAAGTACGCCAGCAAGGATGAAACAGTCAATGTCTTAAACCTAAAGACATTACTGGGGGTGGCTTGAATCCTGTGTGCAAACAGATACTGTTGCCATGGTTGCATGAATGAGACATTGAAGTCTTTGTGCAGTTTTAGAAAAACAGGTTTGGCCGCAGATTAAAATTTTAACGTAATTTTGTAAGAAAAAATGTTTTTAGAAAAAGTACTTCTCTAATTATTGCATAAACTGTTTAACACTTAAATGAATTACAATCAGGGCCAGCCTTTAGGGTGTGCGGGCTGTGTAGTCACACAGGGCACCATGGTAACGGGCGGCAGGCGGTTGACACAGTTCGCTATGACACAAGTTGCAGGCAGGGCTGGATTCCCCACAAGGCCACCGAGGCCATGGCCTTGGAGCAGTAGGGAGTAGAGGGGCGGCACAGCCTGCAGCTTCTCCTCGGATCCTTGCTGCTCTTTCCCACCTGTATGAGCAGAGATAGCGGGAAAAAAAGTGGGCGGGGGAGGGGCGGAGGAGGGATCGCTGTCATCGGGATGGATGAGCAGGGAGAAGATTGCAGAGCCGCTGGCTGCCAAATCCCGGATGACCAAGAGGCTCTGTGCATGGCCGAGCAGCTCCTCTCACTGTCACTGTCCTGATCACACCAGTGTTTGTAAACAACTGGAGACACATAGGTGTCCCCAGTTATGAATGAACAGGAATTGCTTTACATCACTTCCTGTTCATTAATGAGTTTCTGAATGGGTAGAAGCAGCTCAAATATTTACTGTCTCCAGATTCTGAATGGGAAGCCTCTGAACTGAGTGCTTTCCATTCGTTTAGAACAGAGGCTACAGAAAAAGAGATTGACTCGGTGTCCTCAATTTCTTTTTCTGTTTCAAAAAGGGAAATGTCAGGACCTAATATATTACCAAAGCCCCCCAATAGTAAAAAGCCCCACGGGCACATATTATACACGTGCAACAGTGTGCACCATGCACTTTGTTTTAGTAAACAGTATGCACTATTTAACATGTAGTCTAGGTTTTGTGTTCTGTTTTTTGTTTTTACTTTTCTCGATGCACTCATATTGAAAAACGGCTCTGAATGACATTATGACATTTTATTTTTATAGGCCCACCATTGTTTTATTTAATAAGAATACTTATATTGTGCTTACAAGTTTAATACCTTTATAATACCTTTGAATAAAAGTGTTATTTTTATCATAGTTTTTAATCTGTTTCTTTGGGGCTTAACAAAATGGGAGACTTTAAATGGTGTGGTTATTGGAGAAATGGGTGGGGCCACTGAGGGGTGTGGTTTCTGAAGGCGTGAAGGGGTGTGGTCACTGAGGGGCACTGTACAGCTTTCTCGCACAGGGCACCTAAAGGCCGGCACTGATTACAATAAAACCAGCATTATACTTCCTAAGCATTTTTTACATTGAATTACATGTGTTTCGGTACAGGCAACAGTCCAAATGGAAGGCAGCAAAATTGTTGTCGACTTTGGAAAATACAAACACTCATCTGAGATCGTTGGAGGAAGACTGGTAGAGGTAAGCATCTATTTTATTGGATTTAACATGTTTAAAAAAAATAAATAAACACACCACCTACATTTTTTATGATACATCCAATAAGGCAAAGTACAGTAACCCATAGTAATCAACTGTCTTCTTAAATAATCTATCTATAGGTCACTACTTGCTGCATATTACTGCTTTTTGGCACCTACTGACAAAGGTGCTACTAGAGCCAATGCAACAACTATGGAATAGATGAGGTGGTATTTTGCACACCTCAAAAATAAAAAACCAGAAGAGGGCAGAAAAAAGAATGAGGGGTGCTGGAACTATAAATAAGGGAAACTCCTCTTTCGCTAATGACAATCCAAAATAAAAATTGAAAAAGCCAGCACACTCAAGCATTTTGCATAAATATATTTTATTATAGTATAAACAGGTTTACAGATATGGTAGATACAAAAATCAGTTGATACATACAAAGGCTTTCCAATAAAAAAAGCATACCAGAATAAGACAGCAAGTGGCTTAGTAAGACAGAAGACCAATAAAGGAATGAGGCCCTGAAGCCCAACGTTTTGGGGGTAATAAACCCCTTTCTCAGAGTGGACCACAAGTACAAGAAGGTCCACCTGGGGAAAGTGGTTAATTACTCTGAAATGTTGGGCTTCTGGTCCTCATTCCTTTATAGAGGGAGTTTGGTAGCCTGATGTGCAGGTCTGTACCAGGTCAGACAAGGTGGAGATTGGGGCTAATAAATGCACCAAATATTAGTATATTGGGCGCAGAAACTGCAACATTCCTGCAACAAATTGCAGTTTGTGATTTTCCAGGTTTTGTGCACATTTTGTAACTCATCTTTGATATAGGTGCACTATGCAGATGTTTTGTCAAAATGTTGGATGCTGAACAGAAAGCTCTGTTATATGGCAGGGCTGTGTAAAAGTCAAGACTTTGTAAAATGTCAGCTGTCCTTAGACTGCCAGCCCAGGTCAATATCTATATAAACTGGGTATTTAGCTGTTTTCAGGGAGTTTCGTTTTAATGGTTTTGCGTAACATAGCATTAGTACCCTGCCTATTAAATCTCCGGGCAAACAAAAAAGTACGCTTGCAGTGAGGCTACTCCCGCATTGCAAGGGTGTGCTTATTTTTGTCTAGGGGCTGGAATAAAGCACATCTTCTTACCTGATCCCCACTCCCGCTGACTCCCTCCAGGCTGTTGGACACCGGTCCCCGCAGCCTCTTCTTCCCTGGGCTGGCAATCTAAGGACAGCTGAAACCATCATATCTAATGCAGGTTCCATAGATCAGCATTAGACGTGAAATCGCCAAGGAACAGTCCACCCGCTAGAACAGAGGGGAGGGAGGTAAGTGCTGACCACCAGGGGATACCGCTATACTCCAATCCCCTGTATAAAAAAGAGCACTTAACCCTTGCTTTGTAGGGCTAGCTCCCTGCAAGGGTACTGCTTTATTTGCCCTCCTGTATGGGCTTTAAATAAGCCTTACAGTTTTATATAGTGTTCCCACAGTCAGCTTTTCCAAAACCTGAAGATAGAGAAGAGATGCATGTTTCTGAATGTTACTTGCTTACATAGAGTCCTGTAAGTCCTAAGCAGTCCCTAACCTCCATTGTACCTTAGATCTAATGCTGGATTTACCAACAAGTGTTCAGAAATTACTAGAAAGAAAAATGATGAAATTAAAGTAAACAACACTTGTAAGACGCTGACTCCTTTGCGCTAGACAGTGGCCAGTGACTGCAGCTGCTGCCAAAGTTGATAAGTGTTCAGGGGTTGTCAGGAATGCACAAAGTGTACAAAATCATTACATTTGATCCGTTTAATTCACCTTGTCTGTTTTCTTTTTATTTCAGACATCAGAAGCCGGTGGAGTTACTTTCAAGAGAATCAGCAAAAGGCTGTCATAAGAAAGATTGTCTTGGTTTAAAAAAAAAAAAAAATTAAATAAAGTTTCCATTAGAATTTGTATCCTGTTTTATTACTAATTGTCAATAAGAAAAATGCGTGATCATTAGCTTGCTGAAAGAAAAGATGTCATAACTCATAGCAGCTCATAAAATAATTGATGTTATTTTTTTTCATATCTGTCTGCTTTCCTCTAGAAACTTCCCACTCAATGTGCAGATCTGCGCCAGGTCAGACCAGGCGGGGATCTGGGGCTAATATCTGCATCTTCCCACTCAGGACTAATTGTCCTTACTTCTGGTGGATGCTTCAGATTTAAATTGCATGATTTTAAAGTGACAGGTGAAAGTCATTGGGACTGAGTATAAGTAAGAATCCCTTGTAGTTATTTCATCTGTGAATGTAGCTGGATTTCAGCTAGAAAAAAATATTAAACTCTCAAACTTTTTTTTACTATTGAATCTGGATCAGGTATTAGATATCGAGTATTTCTTTGCATTTTAGCCCATGCATTAAGTCATCATGTTTCCAAACAGCTCCAACTCTCTTATAGACTCTTCACAGACATCTCCAACTCTCTTAGCTCAGCTTCCCTGTAGTTCCTGTCCAGTACATATCACAAGGGACAGATTACTTTCCAGCAGCCATCCATCCACTACATTGGAGAAGGGAAGAGGGAGGAGCAGAGAGCACAGAGCAGGAGAAGTGTGTTGCCTTGCTGTGCCTGAGTGTTTGTGAAGACACACACAGAATACTAGCACAAACAAGGGTGTCTCCATAGGAGTCTGCAAGGGAAAGGAGACACCCTACAATAGGACATCATGGGCAGTGCTCAGGGGACCAGCTGATTCTGCAGGAAACTTAAACTTTTAAGCATCAAGGAGCAGCATCCATTGTAAGTGATTTAATGAACATTTGAAGTAGTTTAAAAACATGTTAACCTTAATATCACTTTAACTGTTTTAAAGTGTTGTTTAAGGTTTTCTATACATTTTTTTTTTATATAAATATTTTTTTAGACTCTGTTAGCCTTAACATGTATGTATATACATCATTTTTAAGAGTGGGAAAGTTTTGGAACCCCTTATATTGCTGTCCGTGTCCCCACTAGGTATATTCAACCATCTGTTTGTCCTTGTAACCATTGTCTCTGTGACAAAGAGTAATTGGAAATCCAACATTTTACAGTTGTCACCAGAACAGGACAGAAGAAGAATAAATCCTCCACTAGGGACAGCTGATAACTGTCGTAGAGGGGAATTTCACTCTCTATGTTGAGATTTCCTTTAACTTATTGTTGCGTCTCTGGGACAGGAAGTGAAGGAAAATATCCCCAACTGGGCAAAGACAGCAAAAAAAAGTTAAATGACAGCGGGTGTTAATCATCCCCTACTCTATTTGACATTATTATTAGTATTAGTTGGAGGCCAAGGAAAAAGACTGATATTGCAGCATGTCAAACGCCCAGATATTCTTTAAACAAAAATGGTGTGTATGTAGTGGAACGGTTCCTGGCATGCAGCAAGACAGCAAGGTTTATAAAATCATAATTCACTTCTTTATTTCAGAATATTACAATAAAAATTTTTTCTATATATCACAACAATAAAATCAGTTTCCAATGGTTCATGTAAGAATTATGTATTTCCCACTTACATAGCATGGTAACAGGTATGGTAACAGGCGATCAGAACTATTCCTAACTGTTCCCTGGCTTGGTAGGAAAGGTGGCACATAGAGGGTATAAAACCCTGGCCTTAACATATGATAGAGAAATGAAAAAGCAGATGCTACCTTCATGTTACTAAGTCAAAAACATTCAGTAGATCCAGAAATATTGGCAGTTGAAGATACTGAATATGTTAATACCCCTTACCTCTAAACACCAGACTTAGCTCCAAGTCTCCCTATTGGCCTTTTAGCATGATGGCAGCCCTTTATAGACTAGTAATGGATCTGTGGAGGTGGAAGGAGGGGAAGCCAAGGTGGACTTTTACAGGAAAAGTCAGCATTTCCATTTATCTCTCTATAGCTCTACTGTTTTGACATGCAGATCTCAATGAGGATAACCTCTGCCTATACTTTTTATCGTATGTCCAATTGGGTTTGCTAGTAAGTATACACAACTGTTCCGCAAACACTACCAAAATAGTACGAAAATAATGTAAACATTTTTTTTTAGCCCTAACCAGAATCAAGACAAGTACAGAATGTTACAGAATGTGAAATGACAAAAATTCCCTAATTTAAGCAGACCTCGAAATCATCCCCACCACCCGGGTCGAACAAGAGACATGATCCTGATGTAGAAATGGGGAGAATTCTGGATTTCTAAATGTCTGAGCTGTAATTGTTGAAAAGGACCGAAAAGTAGATGCAGCCCACATACTTCTGAAGGTCATTTAAAGAATAAAGTATTAACATTCAATATCAAACTGTATAAGCTTATTGTGATTTGTATCACATTTTGTTAACCACAAATGGAGTTCCCCTTTGATAATCAACTGTTTGGTCTAAATATAAAACAAAATGCTGTTTGAAATTCACGGAATTCTTGTATCTAAATATCCATAACATTGATAAGATTGTTGTTCATTTACAACCTCAATCAATGTGTCACTTTATATTGATTCATGTGTTGTGTCACTTATTTGATACCTATATTTAGTCCAAAGTCCTTAGGTGTTTTTTAGAGCTATTTTAAATTAAACTGTGTAGTTAATGACTATCACTATTGTTGGAAAAGAGACTTTCCTATCATACTGTGTCACAGAGACTGTCCTGCAGTCACTTTAGAATTTGTTGCTCCCAGCTGGCATGCATCGGAGTGTTACTGCCAATATAGCAGGGAGGCCACAACAGAAGAGAGTGCAAGCAAATAAAAGTTTCAGTCCACCAAAAACGTATATATTTCACTTTTTCGTAGATGCTGGAAAGGTTAACTACTTGGCAATTTCTTATACCTCTTTGGAAGTCTATTATGAGATCTCTGTGCTGTTCTCGGTTGGCACAACTGCTGTAGCCATTATGAGAGGCTCCCACTGGGCGTGTTTTTTATTTACCCTATATCATGAAGAATGAAACAGGAGGGGTTGGACTTGGAACACACCAAGATGGATGGGATCACACAGAACTCCCAAATGCAAACATACAGAGATGGGCATTACAGCAGGAATATCTTGCAAGTATCCAAGAGAAGCTTAGCTACCAGGCTCCACTTATGTTAAAATAGAAATTTTGGGGTCAACTGATCATATAAGCATCTGCACTCCCACCTGGGGCTTTTGGTTCCTGATAGTGTGTATTTTTCAGTAAAGTCAGTATTACTGTCATCCCTGTGCATCCTTTGAGGATACTAGCTAAAATGGGACACTATTGCCTTGAGAGGGTTGGCATCGACTGAGAATGGTTCCATCTGCCTGTGCAGAGGCCTAATATAGGATTTCTGCTTGGCTGGTAAGAATGGAGCATTCTGATAATGTAATGAAAGCCAGTATTTCCCCCCGAAAATGGCCACAGGGAAGCAACTAGTGGGCCATGCATGATTAAATGCGGAGTGCTGCATACTGATGCATCCACTGTCACCCGGTCATTAACATCAATAGGTACAGTAGCTGCATCTGAATGGGGACACCTGGCATTCCTACATATAACAAAGAGGAAAATTATTATGTTCATGGAAAAATACAAAATCTTTTAAAGACAGACCCGGAGAGCCTGAGCGGAGGGGCTACATGACTAGGGGGAGGAATAGTCCCGGGAGAAAGAGTTAAAAAATAAAATGGGAACAGCTGCTCTTACCTGATTGGACGTGGGAGTCAGGTGTCCGGGAGGAGCCGCATGGGAAGGATCTGCAAGGGCTGAGGGACGTCCTCTTTCAGGAAAGCAATGAACGAAGCAGGTTGTCCCACCCTCCCACATTCATATGAACAGATCTAATATCGAAAAATCTGTAGGTTCCTGATGCAGGAATACAAGATTGCCCCCGTGTGAATGAGACCTTAAGTTCCTAAATCTTACAGAAGCTTCTTTTAAACTATCCTGGACCTCATTAGCTTCATTATTATTATTTTTTACTACCTTTAGGTATAAAACAATGTAGGTCTGCTGATTTTCACAAAAGTCAGCTCATCTCACCACTACCATTTAAAAGCCCATCTAGGCGTCAAAGTCAAGGTGTATCTTTCCAAATAAATTCTATGATCTTCAAGAATCTTTTATAGTATGTACTGCAAACGTAGCTTCTTTGGTAAATTAAATAAATGAAAACTGACATTAAAGTAAACCAGACATCAGTGTTAGACACAGCCTGTCTGATAACGCTACAACACAGGCCATTGCTCGATAGTAGGTCATAGACCTTGTAAAATGACAAGGAACTGAGACACAGACAAAAACTTTAAGCCTGAAGTTTTTCAACTTTAATGAGTTCATTCACTTTCTTGGCACAATCCCAGCTGAGACAGATAGACAAAAGGTTACTGGCAGCCCTGCCCATAGTCTTATCTGATTTTCAGCCAGTGAACTATCAGTCATGAAAAAAGTGCTTACTCTGCTTGGATTGTGCAAGCCCGTGTATTGTTTTATTCTATGTTTTAGCTAAAAGTTTCCAGTTATGACTTATCTTCATCAATCATAGCTATATAAAATAACATGACAGCAGATTGTAGCAGCTATAATATGCAGCAATTTACCTTTATGTTATTACTATATATTGTGGACAATTGAGTCTTCCTAACTGACGTGCAATGTTGCCTGATTGTGCTGTCGACAGCATATTGTGAGCTACATATGTTGGCAAACAGCCACAGAGTCTAGGACGGTAGTCACTGTCTGCTCAGGCTGGGGCAGTTTGTGTAGTAAATTGCTCCAGAGGACGTTTACCTTTGACAGAAGTCAGGATTCCTGTGGGGTCAGGGCTCTGGAGTCTGGGCAGGGAAAGAGTGGGTGGGTTCCCTGTCCACCAAACTGCAGTAGTCCACTCCAGGTGTCCTATCCTGGAAGAAGCCACAAATTAAAAGAAATGAGGTGGAAGGTGTGAGCTAAAAAGACTCTGCTTTAGTATGAGAGGTAACAGACTGTGGATTATGTGTATAGGTGGAGAGAGGTTGTCTGTGCAACTAACAGACAGATCCCAGATCTGGTGGGACATCTCTGTTATAACTGTGAGGTTGTGCTGGGCATACCCCCAGCAGAAACTTCCTGTATTCGGGGCTGGCCTTTGGGGTGTGCGAGCTGTGCGGCCACACAGGATGCCATTACAACAGTGGTGTCAGGCACCTGAAACAGCTCACTATGACACAAGCTGCAGACAGGGCCATAGTCCCCCACAAGGCCACCAAGGCCATGGCCTCGGGGTGGCAGGGAGTAGAGGGGCGCCACAACCTGCAGCTTCTCCTCGGATCCCCACTGCTCTTCCCTGCCTGTATGGTGCTGAAGCCGGTGGGGGCGAGGGGGGGGGCGCTGTCATCTGGATGGACGAGCAGGGAGAAGATTGCAGAGCCGCCAGCTGCCAAATCCAGGATGGTCGACCAGCTCTGTGTGTGGCTGAGTGGCTCCTGTCACTTTCAGGCCCCATTCACACTGAGCGATTCGCAAATCGCGCATTTGTCGCGCGATTTGCATTTTGCGCGATATCACGCGTTTGTCGCGCGATATCGCGCAAATGCTTGCATTGAGCAAGCTAGAATCGCGGCGAAATCCGCTCCAAAAAGGGTCCTGCTGTAGCGACGCACGACCCGCAACACACGACCCGCGACCCGCGACAGCGACGGACAGAGCCCCATTGCCATGCATTGGAGAGCGATATCGCTCGGTAAATAGCCACGATATCGCGGTAATTCCCGCGCGATAAATCGCTCAGTGTGAATGGGGCCTTAAGGTAGCAGAGTGGAGGATCGGTAAATATGTGTGATATTTACCGATCCCCTGTGTGCATCACAAACACTGGAGTAATCAGCGATGAACTGTTTGTAAACACCTCTGGGCACATAGTACTATGCTTCACATCGCTTCCTGTTCATTCATGAGTTTCTGAATGGGCAGAATCAGCTTAGTACAGAGGCTTCTATCCATTCATAACTGGTTGATAGTAAATATTTACTATCTCCAGTTTGTGAATGAATGAGAAGCCCCTCTACTGAGTGCTTTCCATTCATTCAGTGCTTAGGCTGCAAGAGAAGAGATTAAGGACTCTGTGTCCTCAATTCCTTTTTCTATTTCAAAAGGGAAATGTTAGGGTCTGCTTAGACCCCTGATATTTTACCAAAGCGCCCTCCCCACACACACACAGTAAAAAAATAAATCGAATAATAATAAAAAATATAAAATAATAATAACACACACACACACATATATACACATACACATATATACACGCATACACACACACACACACACACACACACACATACACTTTGTTTCAGTAATCAGTATGCACTATTTAACATGTAGTCTAGGTTTTGTGTTGTTTTTTTTTTTTTTACTTTTCTAGATGCACTTACCTGAAAAAAGGGTCTGGATGACATCCTGACACTTTATTTTTATAGACTCTATTTTAGTTTGACATATATTGTTTACCACTTGAATGCCTACTGTTGTTTTATTTGATAAGAATACTTATATTGTGCTTACAAGTTTAATACCTTTGAATAAAAGTTTTATTTTTATCATAGTTTAATCTGTTTCTTTGGGGCTTTACAAAATGGGAGTCTTTAAATGGTGCAGGTATTGGGAAAATGGATGGGGCCTCTGAGGGGTGTGGCTTACTGAGCGGTGTGGTCACTGAGGAGCACTGTAAACCTTTTTCGCACAGGGTGCCTGAGGGACCTAAGGCCGGCCCTGCATGTATTGACTTTGCTACGTTAATTAAAGTGGTCATGACTGCCCTGAAACTAAACTGCCCTGAAATATTTTGTGAGAGGACTGTCTTTTATTTATTCACTGTTTGAAGGTAATCCCATTATACATATATATACAATATATACGGACTTGTTGCTTTGTTGCTGTGCAACTCCTCCAGATCTTTGCTTGTGCACATCACACACAGTGCCATCGGTTTCAAACTTATCACGAATCCATGCAATTGTTAGTCGTGTAGGTGGTTCTGTTCCAAACTCACGTCGACATTGTCATTGAACTTCACACACATTTTAAAATTTACAATACCACTTCAAAATGGTCTTGTGTTGCTCAAAAGTCAAGCATTCCTCTGCCATTTTCTTTGACTCTCTCCTGACGGTCACATAATAATATCAACAAGGGTATACATAACTGTTGAAGTGTGTATCCATTTTTTGGGCCCCTCTGTATATATACATTGTATGTACAGGCAGGGGCGTAACTAGAAATCACAGGGCCCCACAGCAAAACTTTGTATGGGGCCCCGTGATTGCTAGTCATGCCACTTGCAGAGCCCAACATAGACTCTATATAGTGGGCTCAGCAAGGTCTCAGTTTGGCTGCATGCCTCTTATCTGTCAGTGTTGTCCACCTCCGTGGTCGCCGGGCCCCCGCCTTCTCTTCCGTCCCCGGGCTCTGCCTTCCTCTATCGACGGGCCCCGCCGCCTCTTACATCACTGGCCCCACCTGCTCCTAGATCGCTGGCCAGTGATGTGAGAGGAGGCGGGGTTGCTGTTAGGCGGGCCCTGCCTCCTTCTTTACTGCAAACGCCGGTGTAACCGGCCTATTCTGCCGCATCTGCTGGCTGTCACTGAAACAGCTCCGCAGAGGCTGTGAGGGGGAACGTTCTCCCTCACAGCTGCTGCTGAGCTGTGTCAGTGACAGCCAGCACCCCGAGACGCCATAGCGACCCAGGCGGCCCACACGGCATCAGAGGGATGCCCTGGCCGGGCCCCCCTGTGCCCGGGTCCCATAGCAGCCGCCTGTGTACAGGATATGTCAAAAGGTATTGTAGGCACTCAGTGGTCTTCCAAAAGAGTATATAAGGTCAAAAAGTTTTGACACTGAGTACCAGGCAGCAATTTGACTATACTTTGTAGCAGAGAAACACCAACAGGGCTATTTACTGAAGGGTGAAGAGTTTGGAGAAGGCAGGAAAGGTGAACAATCTAGAAAGTGAACTGGAAAGTGAGCTGAATTGGAGAATTTTTCCAAATCATCTAAGTATTATCCACTTCCACTTTAAGAATTAGAACTTTCTAATGTATCCTGTGGCTTAAAAGTGCCAGGATTTAAAGTGGTAGCACAGGAAGTGCAATGGGAGGAATTTATCAAGACTGGAGCAGACCAAATCTGGAGCAGCTGTGCATGGCAACCAATCAGCTTCTCAGTTTGTTCAGTTAAGATTTGAAAATGAAAAAGAGAAGCTGATTGGTTGCCATGCACAGCTGCTCCAGATTCTGTCTGCTCCTATCCCCCCAAATGTCTTTTGTAAAGGTTTGTTAGAAATTGCCTATCTATATTTTTACACGGAGATAAGAAGAACAGTGAAACACAATCACCATGCTACTATGTAAGGAGTATAGTAGAAATCTGTACTGGGTAGATAGGGTTGCTCCATTTGAATATCTAATGAGAAACTATGCACATAAATAGGGCTTTAAAACATTGAAGCATGGGTGAAAGATTAGGTATATTCAGATGATTATTTTTATATAGTAAAAAATGCATTAAAAAGAACTTCAGAGCACCTGTTAAGAAAATACGTTGCATAAAACTTAGATCCACAAACAATAGAGATCATTGTTAAGCATCCTTTTAAATCAACTGTTTATGATAAATCTTATGATACCTCTCATCAATGACATTCAGACCATCATTGATAGTATCATAATCATCAGCAAATATTGTGAATGGGAAATGAAACCCCAATTGACTATCCACACCTGAATGGGTTGCTTTACAATTGTTTGAACCTGGTGTTTCCCCACAGGTCAGTAACACCAATTTATCAGTGATTTATCAGATATAGATTACACAATCATGAGATCTTAGATGATAATTTGGATAGCAGGGTAGGTCTGGTCTCACTCCTCTGGACATATAAAGAGAAACCACCAACTTAACTGCACTCACTGCTCTCCTCAATTCAAGACTTAGTAGTCCATTTGTGTGGTAAAAGCAGCACCATGGCCTTCAGTGGAAGATATGAGACTGAATCTCAGGACAATTATGATGCCTTCATGAAGCATATTGGTGAGTATAATCTTAATGGACATTCAGAACACATTTCTATAGAAAATGAAATTTGTGATAAATAGGTTTTAAAGCAGTAAAGTCCAACATGGATAATTTGACAGAACTTAGAATTTGCTTCTAACTGTCCTCCACGTTCAACACGTCCTACATTGTGTTTTACAATGTGATGCAATTCTTATTTGTATTAAGTATTTAGATTACATTGTTCTAATATTCCAATTGTCAGCCATTGTTCTGCCATGCTAAGGGTCAATGAGCCTTTTGGAACTGAATTATTAAAAAGCTTTGGCCCCAATTGATCTGTCATCTCACAGTCATCAAAGTCTAGCCATTGCCAGTTTTTCCCCATTTTGGATAAAGTAGGGAAGAGTTCTAAATTTCTATCAGGTTTGTGATTGTGACCCAATTGGGGAGCTTTATCTTCACTTCCCCTCCTAATGACACCTATACCAGAAATGGAAGATGGCTTGTCATCGGGATGTGAAGGCATGGGCAGTATTAAAAATATTGTCAGCCGTTTCAATCTTTCCTCACTCTACTATAAATGTGTTTTTGCTTTTTATCCACGTCTTAGAGAGATTTTCCATCATTTTCATCATTTCCTGATTTCCTGTCCTGACAGGACGATTGGAAAACTTCCCCAACAGAGACACAGGTGGCAATAAAAACCTGACTTGACTCTAGCCCTACCTTGCTCTATCCAAGGCTAAAACAAATGTGGTTGGAGTGGGGCTTTAATGCTCATATAGTCACCTGAAGCAATAGATGTAAAGTAGATTCAGGTATACACACATAAAGATAATCAAGAATTAATAATTAATAGCCCTTTCCAGCAAGCAATTTTTAAAATAAACTTTGAAGTTTTGATTTCAACCAATACTATGCTATGGTCACATGGCCACCAATATCTGGATCAGGTTCTTTCTCTCCAGGTAGTGGGCTGGGTCTTTTGAGGAGGTGAGATGATGATAGTGCTAAAATAGCAGAGGCCTGGTCCATGGCTGTCAATGCTTCTGGTGTGCTGGATGCAGGCACAATGCCTTCATCCACCCAGGAATGTGGAGACATGATTGGATCCACACAACTTTTACCCAAGAATTACACATTTCTTAATTGAAATAGATTGATAAAAATGTATGAAACCTGGGTAAAGCTTGTGTGAATCGTGTGAAAACAATTATAAATAGACTTCTTAATGTCATCTTTTCTGGATCAGGAATCTCCAGTCATATTTCTTTGGTTCAGAAGGCTGCTAATTAAAGACCTTACTAAAATATTGTGAAATAGGCTATGATTTCCAATGAGAGATGAAGACAGGCAGTCCAATTTCCACACACCCTCATGGGCTCCCTTATACCACTGGCAGTGCCATCACTGTATCTCTCCTTATGGCCCAAGTACCAGTGAGGCATTGTTTGGGATTTTAACACAAGTGGTTAAATAGAACTGTTCCATATAGATGACTAGCAGTTTCAGGCCATAGATAAGCAGCTCCACCAGAACAGTGATGACGGATGAGATGGTTTTCTTCGAACTTTTCCTTTTTAATAAGAAATACTAGCTTGAAAATCTGTCACTCAATTCCCAAGTTTACATAAACAAATTGTGTCCTGAAGATGCTCAAATGAATTACAGAGGGACAAATCTAAGTCACAGTACCCTGAAGCAAAAATTAAAATAAACCTGTATGGAGAGAAGTACAAAGAAATGTGTGGGCTGCCACTGCTGCCCTCCCTCTAAACATATTAGTTGTCTGGCTGTTTCTGACGAACAAATACATTGAGACACTGACCTGGAACCATGGGCCTGGAAGTACAGGTATATATATTGGCAAAACGTTTTTGTTAGTTTTGACTAGGAAATGGTTAAAACCTCTGTTTTTTCTGGTGTCTGTGCTCCATTAGAATGATTTTCATGATTTCCAGGATTTCGCATTGCTTTCCTGTGCTGGTGACTATGGTCACCATGTCAAAAAGGATGAATCTTTTCATTGGGGATACTCTCTGAATTAGATGAAATTACCCACAATGCTTCTGGGAGTTAAAAATGAAGTCATCTTTGCCTAGGATTTATGTCACAAGGGGGAGCGCTAGTAAAATAATAATTTGATTTAGTATTGCTGGCATGTAATGGATTTGTGTCAAATGTGAGTTTTAATAATGGGTTCCTTTGTAAAGAGCAGTCTCCAACGTGCATTCCTAACCATCTGAATCTCAACTCTTGAATCGTTACCTCTCAGGGATAGTTATTTTTGTTTTATTTACTTGTATTCTCTTCCTGTCACAGACGGATTGTGGGACTCTAAGGCTGTCCTATCACCTGCACAGTGCTGATAACAGAAACAAAACAAATTCTCATTTAAAACCCAGTTGAACTTTTAATAATGCAGTCAGGCTGCTTATACAGTACAAAATGTGCCTCTTTTTCTGCTATTGGTTTATCAGCTAGTGCTACAGGAAGGGTTAAAAAAGACACCGTACTTAAACAGTTTCTGTGTTGCTGCTGATTCCAGACTTAAGATGAACCACTAAACATTAAAATTTTGCTAAGCTGATAATACATTTCTTTATCTTTGTAATTCACTAACCAGGTTGTATTGATTACCACCCACACTGTATGTTGCAAAACTGTTCCTGCTCCCCTTATCCCCTGTTTTCTTATGTCTAGTCTTGCAATTAACACGTATATAGAAAATCTAAAGACTAATAAAATGATTGAATTGAAAAAGCACTGGAAAACTCAGACAGCAGCTCTCACACACAAGTATTGGCCCAGTGTTCCTGCTGTCTGACATGCCCCCTGCACATTTCTCTAATCAAAATAGCTCTCTCTCCCCCAGCAGGGCTGTTGATTAGAGCAGTGTTCAGGGGGATGTCAGCAAGCTAGGCTGCTGCTTGTGTGTGAGAGCAACAGTCTTATTCTCTTCCAGCACAGAATTTTTTTTACCGTGCACCAGATAAAGTAAATAAAACAAGAGGCATATTAATGAATGTATATGCAGCCTGCCTGCATTAAGGCAATACATTAAGAAGGTTCACTTGGGCTTTAACAGTAACAGAGCCAATGCTATCAATCCAGAAAGCAGTGGGCAGGATCACTTCGCCAGGAGATGACTGACAAGCCGAAGGCTGATAGCCTCACCCCCCTACAACATTTTCTTATCCCACTGTAGTGCAAGCCGGCACAGCTTACATGAGAGTGGCAACTCTGCTCTGAATTCAGGAGCAGTGCAGCATTGTTGCCACATCATTACAGCAAGCTTCATTAGGTGGACTTCACGGGTAGGAGGACTAAGAGAAGTCTGTAAATGAAGATGTAAATGTAGCTGCAGATATTTAAGTGCTATTGCACATATTTTTGAAATGGGAGGTCACAGTTCTACTTTAAAGGGTCAGTTCACGCAAAAGTTATATATAATTATAGCTAAAGTCTAGTCGACAGAGTCATGTGTTGGCTTCCTTTATCTCTTTGGGACTCCAGGAGTGTGATCTTTATGTTTTAGTTTCTGGTCACTGTTAAATATTCACACCCACCTTCAACTGATTTTAAACCTAAACTAGACTTTCATTACACAGTGCACAGGGAGCTTGCTGACTGGTGGAAAGAGCACCAGGTTGATACTATGAGTATGTTGCTACCCCTTCACTATCCAGTGACAGGCTGGGGCGGTCCTTTACCAAGCTGTATTGCTTTACCTGTTGTACCAAAAAGCTAAACCAGATCCTGCCTATGCTGTCTGACAAAAACTCCAACTCCAACTTTTTTTGCAGGCAAGGCAGTTCAGAGGTTTAACTGTTGGCTTTCACTTTAAGTTTAGAGATCTCACTACCAGAAAATATCATAGATATAAGAAACTCTTGAATGGTTTAACACTCCTGCCCCTACAAAACACTTATTATCTATATATAAACAACTTGCAGAACCACTGGCCCTGTGAATGCTGGGGGATATTCATTTACTGTGAATGTTCTTGTACATTTTCTTTATAAGTTATGTTTTTTTTCACATGTCATCCTGTAATATGCATTATGGCCACTAGATGATGCTGATGAGCATAGAAAATACATACGTATTTCCTCTGCTCCTCTGCTCCATCTAGTGGCCATAATGCAATATTACAAGATGACATGTGAAAAAACATTTAACTTATAAAGAAAGTATATCGAAAGTGTTAAGAAAATATATTGAAAGTGTTAAGAAAATATATCGAAAGTGTTAGTTTTGTGCATCTATTTGCACAGAACTAACATTCACAGACATAACACAAGGCCAATGGCTCTGCAAATTGTTTATAAATAGATGTTATAAATAGTACCATTCTCCTTTTTAACCCCTATACGTACATTCTTTTTTTCATATCACAGGTATCCCTGATGAGCAAATTGCCAAGGGGAAGGAATTCAAATACACCTGCGAAGTAGTCCAGAAAGGCAATGAGTTTACCTGGTCCCAGATCTACCCCGGACATACAACAACCAACAAGTTTGTCGCTGGCCAAGAGTCTGATATAGAAACAATGAGTGGAAAGAAGTTTAAGGTACTTATGTGGTTATCTAAGCATGTATACACCTAACTGACCTTCATATCAAAGCTGGGCAGGGCGGTGATAAGTAATCCTGATCATGTGAAGAGCCAAGTTTCGAAGGCAGTAATATTTATAGATTGGTATCACGGTCAGCATAGTATTGTTATGAGGCTCAAGTGCACAATGTGAAGGTGCAGTAAACTACGTCTAAAGGAATCCTATTGTAAGACAAAAACGGCTCTGTCAATGTCCCTCTGAAAATGTTAATTGTCTGGCTGTTATGTTAACCCTTTGGCTATCATACTCTCTGAGGGACCATCAAGCAGCATGTAGAACATTACCGATACAGTACACTGCTCTGGGTGTATTTATGTATCCAACACAGTGTGAACAGAGCCAAAGAAACTCAGACTAGCTCATAAATTGTCTTACAAAAAACAACTCTTCTTGTTAAGACTAAAATTAAATATAAAAATATTTCCTTTTTTTAGGTAGATAGAAAAAAGCATATTATTTCATAAGGCAGTGGCCTACCTGGCCAGTAGTTGGAGCCTGAGTCTCCATTTTACATATTCAGCTACTTCAGACAGAAGCCCACTTGTTCACGGAAATGCATTCATTAGAGCAGTAACTCCTCCCTTATCACTTCTCAGTAAGAGGTTTCAATTAAACAAACAGAGCTGCAAAGCAAGCTTCTGCAGTGTTGTCCCTGTAGCTAAACCATAGTGTCTTGGGAATCTATTGACTCAAAACCATTATGGCTTCCCTTAAACAGAACTGCCAGATTATCAGCCCGTGTTTGCTAGGTCTATTAAAACCAGAAAGTGTCTGGGTTAGTCACAAGAGCCAATAATATTCAAGTTGTAATTATTCTAGTACAGGTTAGAACAGAACTGGGCAACACAAACATTACTCCATTCTGCTTTCATACATAGGAGCTGAGTTCCTAAATATCTTTCTAGTTTATGATTGACATCAGCTGTGAACTGATCTTTGAAAACAATATGTATCCAGAAGTGTGTAATGTTAGTTTTTCTTTTCTTGCAGACCACAGTCAGTTTGGAAGGAGGAAAACTTGTCGTGAAATTTCCCAATTATGAGCATACTTCAGAGATTGTTGGTGGAAAACTAGTGGAGGTGAGATTGGCATTAATATCGTCTATTTTTAAGTCCACAACTCCCTGTGTCATGAGAATGATAAGAGTTGCACCAGAGAACTAGCAATGGGCACGCATGTTCACTACAAGTCCTCAGATCTTGCTGTCAAACTGACAAATGAGCTACAGAGTTAAATTTAAGTTAAATAACATATACTGTAGATGCTAAATGTGACCTGCCCATCCAGTCTTCATTGACCTCTTTTTTAACCTCCCTGGCGGTATTCCCGAGTCTGGCTCGGGGTTAATTTTCTGTACCATAAGCGGTAACCCCGAGCAAGACTCGGGAATATAGCGTCGCATCTCTTACCTTGTCCGCGATCCCCGCTGTGTCCCCCGGCCGATGCCGGCATCCGTCTCCCGGGTTCCGTCCCTTGCGAGCGTCCGCGTCGCAGGGGGGTTGAATCGGTTGGAAGTTTAAAAGTTTAAAAAAAAAAAACGAAAAGCAGATAGACCAAAAAAGGAAAAAAAAAAAAAAAAATAATCATACCACCAGGGAGGTTAATAAACTAGCTTTAAAAGGACCTGTCATGAAACTAAATGTATGTCTCAGGAAGCCAAACTGTACTACTTCTAGTAGTGGTTGTATTCACATTCAGAACAATGATGCAACTTGTAGGGACAAATATTTTACCTCCCATTAAAAAGGGCACACAATCTAAGCCATTTTTACTTAGCTAAGTCAGCTACTGTCATGTAACCCTCTGGGGATCCTCTTTCTAAGTGGGGACCGGTGATCCACTGCTGCAGTCTGGTCCCACTACTATGTCGTCTTGTTGCTGTGCCCGATTGTGACACCATATGCTGCTGTCTGCTGCAGCCTCATAGGACCCCGACACTGGACAGCCAATGGGAAGTGTCCATGGCTCCCCCAGACAGAGGTGTTGGTACTCACAAATTACCCCTTTTGCTCTGAATTCAGAAAGAGAGAAGACTTGCACCTGAGCATGGATTTAGGGGTTCAGTTGGGGCATTGAATTGTTTTTGAATTACTGCAGCAATTATCTAAGGGGAGGTTGGGGTATTGTTTGGGGGTTCCAGACCACAGTTGATCTTTATACCCTTAAAAATACTGGTTTAGTCTTATTTGATAAGGCAATCATAAGGGCAATGATGGTGTGTTTATTGTTGTAAAACCCCTCAAAATGGCAGCTGCTCAATTATGTCACAATCAGCAAAGGAAAGGTGCAAAAGCATATAATACTAGAAATCCCGATGACTCAGTTCTTCTGGTCAGCAGAGAACCTAACTATAAAAAAGTCCCATTGTTAAAGAGTAAAATCAATGACATTATCACATACTGTATATACAGGAATAAGCTGGTCACGAGGATTGAACGGGAAAAAACATTTGATTCCCTCATTCATGCTAAACAGCTTGGTTGAAGGAACCTTCCCTGCCAGCCATTGAATGCAGATGCTAATGGGACCTGTAGCTGCTGTATATCTGAACAGTTATATTCGCAGACCATTTTCCACTCAACTCCTTTGACAAAAGTTGATTGAAAAACTTGTTAAGGCGAGTGGTGCCGACAGCACCACGCACAGCTTGATTTTCGGCTGATTCATCAGTAATTGGCCAAAATTTGAGCAGTGTATGGCCAGCTATTGACAAAAGTAAGCCATAACCCCTAGCAACCAAGTCAGATAGCCGACATGTATATTTCTAAAGAGGTCACTGCACTGTGCATCCCTACCCAGTGTGCACATGGCTCTTTGCCTGGATGATATACCTTGATTATCTATAGTGTGTTCTCATGAGGTCAGCACTAATATGCTTTTTCTTTTGTTTTTTTTCAGACCTCAGTGAGCGGTGGCATCACCTTTAAGAGAATAAGCAAGAAGGTGGCATAAGATCTCTGCGCACTTACTTTGTCACTTCTACCTAATAAACAATTGTTTGCTGATTGAATTTTTTTCCACCTTGTTCTTCTTTTACTGAAATGTACTCATACGAGGTAGAGTGGCGGTGACTCTGCCACTTAAATCAGAACTCTGGGCACAATTTTTTTATTAACCCTTGCAGTTGGGCTACCACTGCACTGCAAGGGTTAACTGCTCCTTTATTTCTAGGTTCAAAAGAAAGTTATACTCACCCGATCCTCGAAGCTGACTGGCTCTTAGATTGGTCTCTTCCGCCTCGCTCACCCTCTGCTGCAGCAGTTTAAGGTTCCTGAGTCGTCACGTTCTATACACAGTGTACAGGATGTGAGGACTACGAGGGACATATACCTTCGCTGCAACGTAGAAGGAGAGAGACAGGAGGGAGCGCTGTGACAGCTGGTTGGCTCGGAGGATCAGTATAACAATTTTTCTTTAACCTAGACGAAATTGAGCAGTTACCCTTGAAGTGCAGCAATAGCCCCTCTGTAAGGGTTAAGAAATGTGTGCCCGGACTTTTGCTCTAATCAAGGATCATAAAAGGGTAAGGCTTTATTCACATTATTGTGTGAACTGGCGTTTCTCTGCATCACATCAATCAATGTCAGTCACCTCAAAGGCACCTAGAAAACAATTGTTTTAGCGTGTAGGCAATGTGAAGGGCCCTAATGTATATAATTACCTCTACTGCTGCTGAGGGACACTTCACTACCAATGAAGTGTCTTCTGAAACCAACACTTCTAGGAGTGTCAATCTGCTGTGTCCCCCACAGTGCTCAGTGGTTTTTCCAACCGACCCCCATGTCACTACAGGTCACAGTAGACGAGGAGGTCGGAGGGAGGAACCACTGAGCGCTGCGGGGAGAATGGGCATGGCACACGTTTGCTTTAAGCTTATGACAAATGCAAGTTATCTTTATGTAGAAAGGATACCGATACTTTACAATTCATTGCATAACTGTGTCTACAGCGTGGCTGACCTTTATTTCGACTAAAGGCCTTGACATCATGTACATGGTCTTATGGGTGCCCTGTGTGATATCATTGCACATATTTGGACTTTTATGACATCCCCTATCTGGGCAATAGTGTAATTTCAAATGCAGAAAGTTAATGCCGTAGATTTACTTAATGCAAATCTCTGTCAGGTTGTTATTGCCGCCTGTGAAATTATTGGGGGACTCACTTTCTGCCCCTGTGTCTCCCCAGTAGAGATACAGGTAGCAACAAAAACCTGACAGAAGCTCTAATCCTTCCCCGCTATATCCAAAACTAAATAAAACATTATGGCTGAGTTGAACTTTAAAGTAGTTTAAAGCCAAACGGTTTTAGGTTTGAATAGACCCCTGTCTGATGTTCATTTCTCTCGATTCCCCCTATTAGGGAGATTCACCCTCTATATCTGTATCTGTCCTGATGACCGTTGTCACTGACATTGAAAGTAAAAGAAGAAAAAAAAAAGATTTTGAGGTGTCACCAGAACAAAAAGAGAGAGAAATGCTCCAATGGGGACACTAGTTCTGGTGACAACAGGGTATTCCCTCACCTCCTGTTGTGGCTATGGGACAGTACGTTAAAAGAGAACTATGGGGTAAGTGTTTTTCCCAATAGTTCTCTATAGGGTCACGGGAGGGCATATGCTATCCTCCTCCCGTGACCCAAAGCTCAGCATATCACGAGCTACAGCTCCCTATATACTGAGAGCGCTGCAGCCGGGATGGATTCCAACAATACTGTTGAGATCCACCCAGCTGCATGAGTGACAGCGGGCTCTGCCTATATAGAGGCAGAGCCAGCTGTGCCCGCCGCTCCCCCATTCCTTCCTCCACTGGAGAGGGAAGGGGGGAATCCCTGAGGGGAGCGGTGACTGACAGTCACTGCTCACTGCAGGGAGACGATCAGGAAGTGAGCGGATCGGCTGCATGTTTCTGCTCGCTTCCCGATCAATAGAGCCGACCTGTGACAGCTTCTTTGTCACAGGTCGGCTCTAACTATGAGGCTGAGTGGAAATAATTCACCTCATAGATGGAAATCTCCCCAATGGGACTCAATGGAAAAATAAATGTTCTTACTTTGACACAGCACACTCCTAAAACTGTACAATGTACCATCTTTTACAATACTCAGAGGAGAATTTATCAAAACTGGAGCAGACAGAACCTGAAGCAGTTGTGCACGGCAACCAATCAGCTTCTCTCTTCAGTTTGTTCAGTTAATATTTGAAAATGTAAGAGAGAAGTTGATTGGTTGCCGTGCACATCTGCTCCAGATTTTGTCTGCTCCAGTTTTGATAAATTCCCCTCTCAGTGTGACATTTACTGCAAAGGGGTCTTCAAGACTTACAGCAGTCAATGCAATGATTTGTAAAATTCCACCTCCGGTGAACCCTCCTGATACAATGTGAATCCCAGTTCAGGTGGATTACATCAAATATTCCTAAACATGACTCTGCAGGGGCTCAGGGCCAATCACACCATATGCAGTGCGGTTCGAGCCTGGAATGCCATTGACATGGATGGCCCCGATGCCTACTACCGCCCCAGAATGCAGCCGGGCTTGATCTATGCAATCCAGTGCGTCCTGGGCTCGAATCGTACTGGAACGCACTGGATATTGCGTGACGGCCCACAGAAGCATGCTTGTATCCTCTCTCCTGATTGGCTCAGTGTTGATAAGTCCCTCTTCTTCATGTGACTCAACTGAAACCCTAAAGGGGTTATTTGAAGTCGAAGAAATTCATAGAGAAACAAAATTTCATAACCATAAACAGTGTTACCTTTGTACAGTCAGCAGGGCGTTGGCATCATTGAGCCCAGCATTTACTCTGAACTGCTGCAGCTTATTAACTTCTGCTGGAATAAAAGACCCGGACCGCACATTTCTTTAAAGGCTTCATGTCCACCTTTGTGGACGCTGAAGAGGTAAAGTGCAACTGAAGCCAAAACACGTTTTTTCAGTTTTGGATAGAGTGGAGAGGGATTAGAAACTCAGTCAGGTGTTTATTCTTGTCTGTTAGGAAAAAAATAACCTCCCCTGGTGACCATTTTCACTGATAGTAAAATAAATTGTCACCAGAACAGGACTAGATGGGAAATCCTCCAATGGGGACACTAGTTTTGGTGGCCCTGCTGACCACCAGGGATTTATCTCTCTTTGGAGGGATTTCCTCTCGCTTCCTGTTGTGGCTATCGAAAAGGAAGTAAAAAAACATTCTCCCCAATGGGACAGAGATGGCAATAAAAGATCATAAGGTTTATAACACTCTTTTACCCTTTACAAAGGAAGTTTTGGCTTCAGTTCTACTTTAAACCACTTGGCAGTGTTTTGTTATGCTTGGGGACTCTATTGGCGAGATCTCTGCGATGCAATACCAGGTCTGCACAACAGCTATGGACATTATAAGGGGTTCACAATCTCTCTGCTGGATTTTTTGCTTATTTACAGAGTTATTCAAAAAAGGGTTTGGAGAGGGCAGGAGAAGTGAACAATCTAGGACAACATAGCTGAACTGGAAAGTGAGCTGAATTGGAGAATTTTTCCAAATCCGCTATGTTGTCCTAGATTATTCACTTCTCCTGCCTTCTCCAAACTCTTCACCCTTTTGGGAATAACCCTGTTTATGTTATGTTATGGAGAACAGGAGATGCTGGAACACCCAAAGGTGGCTGGGATTAGAGACAGGAATTATGGCAGGGAGAACTTGTTGTTGGGAGTATCCATATATTATTATTATCAATAATTATTAGCATTATGTTGTCTACTACACAAGTAACATATAGTATTATGAAAATGTAAGTACACTACATGGAAATTGTTGACTTTTTCAACATATTTGAACAGACAAACAGATTAGATTTATATAGAATCTTTAAGTTGCCACCAAGTTCAAAACTTCCACATCAGCGCCACTGGACCTGGTTCATAGCCCAAAAAGAAGGCAGCCCCATTGCAGTCAGGGAGACTGAATGGTGCCTTCTGAATGGAAGCTGAATAGAAGCCAGAAGTGAGTACAATTGATGGTGGATTTATGTTCTTTAATAAAGGTTTTACACTAGGGAAGGCGCCCTGTCTGGCTTCTGTTTTTCTATAGAATCTTTAAGTCCTTGGTTCTCAACTGGTAGGTCATGACCCAAAAGTGGGTTGCGACCCTGTGCTCAGTGGGTCACCGCTTTTCTAGGTGAGAGGCTCCTCAGTCTTCCCCTAGCGCAGCACTCTCAGTTCTCGCACTAAGCAGCCATTCAAAATATGCTGCCCAGAGCCGGGTGTCGGCTTGAGGTGGGGTGGGCTGGGGTTATGGCCGCGAGGGAGCTCTATCCATACGTGCATTGCTTACAGCTCCCTCCCGTGACCGGAGTGACATCACATTCTGGCTCCCGGCACCTCTACAGCTGCGCATGAAAGCTGTACAAGCAATGCACATATGGATGGAGTTCCATCACCGAACAACATGCCCACACTGGAGCCCGGGTTGAGGATCCACTCCAGTTCTCGTAAGGTAGGAGGAGGCGGATCTTAAAAAAAAGAAGAAAAAATTTTTTTTGGGGAGTGTGTGAGAATGTCTGTGAGTGTGTTAGATTGTGTCTGTGGTTGTCTCTCAGTGGTTTTGAGGGCCCGTTCAAACTAGTAAAGTGCGTTAATCGCACAGTTCCATGGGATTGACACATTGTAACATGCAATCACACCTACGGTGCGTTCCATTGTGGGAGGTGCCCTGCATTGCCATTCATTTGAATGGCACCCCAAATGCACCTCCCACCCACAGTTTGATCGCCTGCACTGGAACTCGCGGTACCGAAATGCTGTGCGTTCCATTGCAGTGCGACTTAATGACCGAGGACAAATGTGGGTCCTGAGGTTAAACAGGTTGAGAATCACTGCTTTGAGTTATATATTGTATTCAGTGATATTATCTTTTATCTGTAGGCACTATTTGAATCAAGATCTAATATTTGTCCTGTTCAAATATGTTGAAAAAGTCAACAACTTCAATTGGATTGTGCTTAGTTTTTCATATGACTGTAACTATGGCAGTCTCTCCGACATGGCAATGTGCCGCTAACATGGCAATGTACAGTACATATTCACTGTTATGAAGGTCATCTGTACTACAGGCCTTATACTGTAGATCTAAATTTACCATATTACACTATATTATATATATATAAAATCACGGTAGCTTCTGCACTAGATGCTATACTGCATAACAAATGTGTGTAATATATATATATTTACTGTATGTGGGCCCTTTCGAATCCTGCATCTGGTAATCCTGGAAACCCAATACATAAAATCTCATATAAGCTTTAACATATTTCTGTAATTTCAAAAGTAATTTTCAATATTTTTACATTTGCGGCTTTCATAAAAATAATCCTACCATGAAAGTCCTTGTTCAGATACTTAATGTAAGAAGAAAGAAAGAAAGAATAGATACATAGATAGATAGATAGATAGATAGATAGATAGATAGATAGATAGATAGATACTTTTGGCCTCTCCTCCTCTTTGATTCGTCCTTTCTTCATTCTCCTTAAAGGAGAACTATGGGGTTAAGGCTTTTCCCCGTAGTTCTCCTTGGGTTAACGGGAGGACACAAACTAGCGTCCTCCTGTCACCCTAGGCTCAGTATACCGCGCGCTGTAGCTCGCGGTATGCTGAGACTCCGCAGCTGAAGCAGATCCCGACAATTGTGCCGGGATCCGCCCAGCTGCGTGACTGACAGCTGGCTCTAGAGGCAGAGCCAGCTGTACCCGCCCCCTCCCCTGTCCGTTCCGCCAGTCAGCGCTGGCGGATCGGAGGGGGGAATCCAGCCCCTCCCCTGTCACGGCAGAGAGCCGTGACAGGATCGAGAGGTGAGCGAACACCGGCATGTGTTCGCTCCCTTCCCGATCTACTGAGCCGACCTGTGACAGTCTCATTGTCACAGGTCGGCTAGAACTATGAGCTGAGTGGAAAGCACTCACCTTATAGTTCTCCTTTAAGTCTGAAATTTATTACAGGTAGTAAAAGATCAGACGTTCAGGGTTATAGCCTGTCTTCCGCTTCACGTGATAAGATTTAAAGGTTAATGAGAACTCAGAGCCAGCTATGAGTTAAGTATGCTCATATGATGTTTAATGTCCAACCTGTACCGGTGGGAATTCAATAAAGGGTTTGCGCTACTTTTCTGGAGGTATGGACCTATAAAACGTCCGCAGTAAATTCAAAAAAGCCCTATTGCCATTTTTGGTAGCATTACTGACACTCACAACAGATTCAGGTAGTTCATAATAGCGTCACTTTAGGAACTTGTCATTATGACTGTGACAGATTCAAATAAAATCACCACCAGTTACAGATTAGAAAACTGGCAGTAATTGAGATTAAATTGAGACCAGCGTCCTTGCAACCAATGACGCATTCACGAACCCGATTCATCCGCCAGCCAGGAGATTCTCCAACTGGCAGCTGAATGAAAACAGAGAGGTCAGGGATGCTGGCTGACATCATTACTTATGGCCTTAGCCATATTTAGGTAATGGTGTCTGACAGCACCCTTGGCCCCTTTATTTACATTTAGTTGTCAGCCAGGGAATCGCACAGCCGGCAGCTGAATGGGGCCAGAAATTAGACATTGGTTGCTAGGAGGCAAACTGCTGCACAGTCAACAGCCACCTAGCAACCAATGATGCTGACAGTGGGCAGAGCCTGATGGTGACAGTAGGGTGTCTACTGGCTGTGAAATTGGCCCACTGCTTGCTGTCAATCACCAGCGGAGCAGACCTGATGGGGAACTAATCCCTCAGCTTCCATATCAGGCTCCACCTACCCACCAGTAAAACTCCTTAACCACTTTATTGTTGTGTGACAGGTGCAGCAGCTATGGAAGGTGGTGGGCTGCACTCAAGCAGAGTGTGTAGTATGGACACTCCAGCCTTAGTGCCCCTCGGCACAGCAATTGGCATTGCTTGTGTCAAATTCATGTACCACTTTCTAACAGGTACATAAATCTGGGGCAAGCACTGGCATTTGTTGTTCGGATGCATGACGGAATTCTAAAGCGTGTTGTAGACACTCTTTATGAATGCCAGGAATTGTGTCTGCACACTAGAACCAAGGAGACCCTGGCTTCACCAACTTTATTTTAGCTCACTCAGAAACCAGTGATACTGGTGCTTGCAGAATAAGCCCCCACCCACATATATGTGATGTGGGAACATGTGCATCACACAAGATCACGTGAGACAATGTTGGTGCGCTGCAATGCCATTATTTCTTAATGGCACCCGAATGCACCTAGCAATCGCATGTATGTTGCATCCCACCACATACATGGTAACATATAACCATGCTCTGTGGTTTGATACAATTTAAAAAGAAGGTCATGCACATTGTTGGTGCAATTTGGATGCAGTAGGCAGCTGATTGCTTTACCGCAATGAGGTAAAAATGCAATGCAAACCACGTGCAATGTCATATCGCATGTTGGTGTGAGTCTTGCAGACGAGATGAGAAGAAGAGATGAAGACACCATGATGATAATGATTTGACTGGTGCAATGAGAAGGAATGAAATACGGTAAGCCTTCCAGAGTCAGAATCAGAGTTGGACTCTTCATATCTATATGCCTGCTAAACAATTCTACCCCTACTACACCCTTTTATGTAACACTGATAAGTATAAGCATAGACTGTAATGATGAGAAGAAAAAAAATCCTTTATTTTATTGCTTTATCACTAGCTCAACTTGGTTTTACCTGCAGGTCAAAAACATCAGCGTATCAGTAGATGCTGGAGATATAAGCAGATCATTCTGAGATAACCGCAGGGAGGTGTCACAAAGTCTAGGGTATAAAACTGGAAGCCAGCAGCCTATCTTTACTACCTGCTGAAGCAATTTCTAGGCTGTCCGCTCCCTCTGTATAGCAGCAACATTACCATGGCTTTCTCTGGAAAATATGAGGTGGAATCCCAGCAGAACTATGACGCCTTCATGAAAGTTATTGGTGCGTATTACAATTTTCTGATATTTGCTATGTCATTAAGGCTAAAATCTCACTGCTTCTACTTAAAGGGACTCTGTCACAAAAAATACAAATATACTATAAGTTCCCTGTGAAAGATGATTAGTAATACCTATCGGTCCAGTGGGTGGTGACCCCTATCTTCACCCTCTTGCATAGCTATGAAGGTCTTCAGCATCTGGCTCACTTCAGAGAGTGTTGGGTTCCTTTGTCCTCTGTTCTTTTTGTTGTGCACTGTGATTCCACCCATTGGCTGCTTTATCATTAGTGAGTCCTATAGGACATAGCAGCAAATGTGTAGAACAATGAGCAGCAGAGGATGTGACATCCAACATGCCCTAAAGTGTCAGATACCACTAGTGGCTGTAGCTTTGCAATAGAGCAAAGATTGGAGTCAGTGCTTGACTGATGAGTATTGCTCATCTTCCCTTACAGGGTGATTTTTGTAAATGTTTTTGTCTGGGTTGCTTTAGGAATGATCTAAATGTGTGCAGAAAGAGTGTTGTGCTTTCCTGAGATCTAAGGACCTGCCATTGGGCTCATGTATAGCTTGCCATATACTGGTCAAATTGCAAACAAGCTAACCAGTGTATGGCCCAGTTGGCACCTCTTTATTGGAGAAAAGTTTATTGTTTTGTGTCAAAGGAGTGGGTCAGAAAATTATCATTCGAAGAGTGACTATAGCCAATCAGCTGCAGGCGTTTTTTGGGTATTCTGACAGTGGTACATCTGCCACTGTCATAATACAATAGCTGGGGAAGGGGGGGGGGGGGGCTTAACCAAGAAATAATGTACACAAAACTGCACATGTCTCTGTGCCAAAATGAATGAACTCTCTTGCCCATTTGTGGGCATTATGTCATTTCCCTGCCAACCAATCAAGCTGGGCAAAGACCTGGCACCTAGAAGAAGTCAGAGGATGCGAGGGAGTGAGGGGAGGTGAGTATTAAAGGCTTTAAGAATTAAAGGCTCCCTGCATTAAGTTAAAAAATGCCCTGTACCTTTCTGACTCCTCCCACACTTACCTGCCACCGCCACCGGTCCCTGCAGTGATCCTCCGTCCTGAACTTCCTGGTTGTGGGAAAGGAGATTGAGGGCAGAGGAGCCAAAGGCTCCTTCTGCCATCAATCAACCTGTGGGGCAGAGAGGAGGGGCGTGACCTGCTGCAGGGCTGTGTGTGTCTATGGACGCTCACAGCTACCGCGGGCACTGCTGTGAACGAGCATGCACGGGTGCCTCCACAGCAGCCGTTTAGTTCCTGGCATGTGCAGGGGGCGGGGGAGAAAGGCCTCCCAGTGAAAAAAAAAAAAAAAGCTTTAACATCACTTTAAGTTCTGCTTTACGCCTGAAGCTCGAAAGTTGCTGCTTGTTAACTGTCGGACCTTTCCCAGCTCCTGAGAGTACATAACCATATCCAAAAACCATAATCCACTACTGGAGCACAACCTGTGAGGTCTGGGTGTTGACTGAGCAGCATCTGTCAGATTCACCATAAGCCTGGCCAATTATAACAGTTTGACTAAACATTAAATTCTTATATAAGCCCAGCAGTGACTGGCACGCTTTGGAAAGCATATGGCTGGATCAAAAAATTAAATGTAGTTGCCCACCCCCCAATATACACAAAATATAATTCTTATTTAGTTTAGGGGAGCTCTAATAGAGATGAGTACGTACCTTATTTCAGGGTTCTGGTAGTGACAACCAGTCCCCTGAAGCCACTCCTATTCGTCGGTAATGTTGCCTTCACTCTTGCCAACATCATCACATACAATGCAATGCTGCTGGTGGTCCTACATTGTAAGTGTTGATGTTACAGCGATATTAAAGTCAAACAGGGTTATTCACTAAAGGGTGAAGGGTTTGGAGAAGGCAGGAGAAGTGAACAATCTAGGACAACATAGCTGAACTGGAAAAATTCTCCAATTCAGCTCACTTTCCAGTTCAGATATGTTGTCCTAGATTGTTCACTTCTCCTGCCTTCTCCAAAACCTTGCAATGCTGCATGGGATTTGTAGTTCGACAACAGCTGGAGGCTAGAGTTTGCCTACCCCTGGTCTAAAGAGAAGCATAAACAGCCTTTTTACTTACCTTACCCTTCACTCCCTGACAGCCACTGCTCTCTTTTTTTCTCTGACGCTCTTGGTTGTGGGTGTGCACTCAGCATCCCTTCAGTGTAGGATTGCTGGTCCTACATTGTATATGAAGATGTCACAGAGCCTGCGACCAACAGAGTGTCGAAGAGAATTGGAGAATTGGTCGCGACCAGCTGGAATGCAGCCTGCGGGAGCGCGGAATAAGTTAATAAAGATTGTTCTTTATGTTCCCCTTAGACAAAGACAGGGGGGCCCCACTGCATATGTATTCCAATTGCTGAAATAGTGCACAGCATAGCAAACCTTTGCTTTAACCAAGAGTTCAGCTTTCATAAATATATACTCTAAATTTTAGCTCTGAACATTCCGGAAAAATTCTTATTAGCCGGATAAAAAAAAAAAGCCTATTGCATATTGAAATTTGCTAATCATCACAGTAGCCACATACGATGGGGACAATCATATGCTGAATTATCAGCATTCATAGAAGCATTAGCAGCTGCTTAAGACCTCATTAATACTTTGTCATTTTTTTATGCATTCATTCCAGTGGCTTTAATGATTGCCTGGAACAATGTAATAAAACATTCACTTTTTTTTGTCTAGGCATCCCTGATGAAAAAATCGAGAAAGGAAGAGACTTCAAGTACTCCGCGGAGGTAGTCCAGAATGGTAATGACTTCACCTGGTCACAGATCTATCCAGGATTCACCCTGACCAACAAGTTCACCTTGGGCCAAGAATCTGAAATGGAGAGCATGGGTGGCAAGAAGTTTAAGGTGCAGAATGTCATTACTCTTCAGTATGCTGATTATTGTTTGAACGCACAAATTGTGTAACAGATGAACCTAAAGCTGAACTCTGGGCACAAAAACTTTAATTAAAATATATTCCCTCATATTCCCTCATGGATTTATATCCTGCAAAGGATATAAATCCACGTTGTGTGCTTCAATTGTTTTTTCAAACCCAGTAGAAGTCACATCCTCACTGTGCAGAGAGCAGAACTGTGGGAGGGGTCCAGCAGGCTCCACCCACTACAGGCTGCCTGCAGAAAACTACAGGAGGGGGCGGAAACAAGACCAGTCACCCTGCACAAGGCGAGATACTAGCAGTGACTGGTCTTTATTACAGGAAACTACTGTAATAAAGACACAAAGGCCAAGTTTCAAACTTGATTACTTCACAGATCCGGCAGAAATAATCAAACCAAAACAACATTTGAATTGACAATACATGTGTCTCTTGCATTTAGACAATATTAACTTATCTCAGAGTTTAGCTTTAAAGTTTATGTATTCCCAAACAATGCGCTCTTATTTGATCCCTTTTAATCTTTTATTTACCATTGAAAGTGTTTTCCTTCATCTGTTTAACAAATGGATAAAATACCTGTACATTCTGCCAGAAATCTAGTGCTGTTCTGTGTCCTGTGCATTCTGTGTTATCTCAAGCAGTGTTATCAGCCCTGCTTAGTTCACCTTTGTGAACTATGGAACACCTCCCCCTGTTGGAGATTGGAGATAATTAGAGGTAGTTGTCTTCTGTAGTCCTAACATAGCTCCTGTCCTAGGGTGACTACCTCCTTAGAAATAGTACAGTAAGTGAGTGTGGTCATCCAAGGACAGAAAGTGTGTAACTGGTAGGGATATATAAATTTACATAAGAAAATGAATGCAGCCAACAGATCTAAGGACAGGCAAACTGCAAAATTTCACTTTTGTTCTGTAGTTTAGATACACTTTAACCATAGGGTTCCATTGCAGGCAACTGTCCGACTGGAGGGTGGAAAACTGGTTGTGGATTTCCCTAAATACCATCACACTTCAGAGATTGTTGGAGGGAAATTGGTGGAGGTAAGACAAGACATTAATTAATGTGTTTATTTTATTTATTTATTTTAATTATGTGAAGTTTAAAGAACAAGTCTGGGTAAAAATGTTTTATTAACCGATACAGTGGAGCTAACCCCGCACTGCAAAAGTTAAGTGCTCGTTTTTGTCTAGGTTTTGTCTAACACATAACAGAGGTAACACATATTTTACCATAAATTGGAATTATTTTGTGTTTTTTCAATAAAATTTAGTGTATTTTTTTAACTAAAAGTTGAAAAAATGGTTGTGCAAATATCACTTGACAGGCTCTCTGCTTTCAGAAAACCCTTAGAGGGGAATTTATCAAAACTGGAGCAAAGAAAATTGGAGCAGTTGCCCATGGCAACCAATCAGCTTCTATCTTTCATTTTCAAAACCTAACTGAACAAACTAAAGAGAGACTCTGATTGGTTGCCCTGGGCAACTGCTCCAGATTCTGTCTGATCCAGTTTTCATAAATTCCCCCCAAAATGTTTTGGAGGGTTTTAAGCCATTTTCAGGCCTGAACACATCAAACATCAGCCGTGCTCTAATGATATGCTATGTTCTGGTTCTGTATTGGTAAGGGTTATGAGAGATTTACTTACAAATATTTTAAATGTATTGTTGTTAAAATGGGTTTACAATTAGAATTTTAATATGTTACTTTGAATCTTTGTACATGTACAGTATGTGCTGCACCTTTAACATGAAATACTTCAAAATACAGTCAAATTTCCCATTGAGTCTAAACAAAATTGATTTGTTTGTGTTCAGAGTCATCCCTTTAGTAAATCAACCCCATAAGTAAGCAAATAAATAAGCACTTATATACTTATGATTCCTGCCTCACGTTTTCTTCTTTTATCTTGCAGACCTCAGTAGCTGGTGGAGTTACACTTGTGCGAACCAGCAAGAAGGTGGCATAAAGCACAAAGTCTGGGATGGTTGTCAAGGCAGTTCTTCAGAAACAAATAAACTACATTTCCTTATTATTGACTTGTGTTTTTTTTTTTTTAAAGGAATAATCAATAAAAGCTCCTTCATACATCTCTGTTTGTCCATGACCTGAATCTAATGTGGAAAATAGAAAAAAAAGGAGTGGGTTGTTGGCTCATTAAAGCAGTAGTTCTTCTGGGCCAGGACATAACCACTATAAAGGGAATGATTGCCCTCAGGCAATGGTAGCCAAAGGTCAGCTCAGTGCTGGAGTAGGGACCGGGTGAAGAAGTAAAGCACCAATGAAAAAAGGTATAAAGTTCAGATTTATTTTAGTCTCCCTTTGAGTCCCCCTTCATCAGGCCTTAGTACATTTGAACGAAGTGTGTACTGGACTGTTTAACTTGCATTTGGAGCGATCATACTATGGTAATTGCCTCCCAGGATCCCTCCACTTCAATTACTCCAGTGTACACTTAACAAAGCCCTGATGATGAGGCACTGCTTGAAGCCACACAACTTTTTATAATAAAAGAATATGAATAACATACAATCTGGACTTTATACGTTCTGCTTTTGGTGCTTTCCTCCTTACATAAATCTAACGTGAGCAGTCATAAGTTGGTCAATTTTTTTCTCTTTAATGTTGGATGAATTGGTGAAAGGTTAGAACTTTTGTCAGTCTTTTCTTGTTTTCTTTGCCTTCACTGCAAAGATTTCTCTTCACATTCTGTTCCAGGGAAACAAGAAGAAGTAACAAATATCTCCCCAGTGGTCAACACGAAAAATGGCCCCATTGGAAAGAATCCCCTCTTCCTGTTTTGGTGACAATTGTAAAATTATGAATTCCCCCTCCCATTCTCGTAATGGTCAGCAGGGCAGAAGGTGATGGGTAACCTCCCCAACCACGACACAACAATATAACCTGAAAGAGGCTTCCTCACTCTATCCAAAACTGGGAAAAAAAGTTTTAGTTGAAGTTATACTTCAATGAAAGATTTTTTTGCGTGTTGCCAAACAGGTCTTCTTTAAGAGCATGGAAAAATAGGAAATAGTTTGCCTGAGTCTGAAAAAAAAAAAAGAATATTCTGCACTAGAGATACTTTGCAGCTATCAGCATAATGTATATATATATCTATACAGTATATATATATA